CACACACACACACACACACACACACACACACACACACACACACACACACACCAAGATTTGGAAACTGTATTATAGAGTGAGTGAAGGGGAAGACAAAGAGCAGGATGGTTTCCAGGTTTCTAACAGAAGCAATGAAGAAGACGGTAATACCGTATAAGAGAAAAGGTTTGTTGACAATTTAATACATAATCTTCCTATTTGTCTCAGAATCCCAGAGTGCTGAGATTACATACAGTTGCCTAGCACCATGGATGGCATGGAGAAAGAAAGAAAATATTTCTTTCTGCTTTCCCTTTTCTGTGATTAAAGCAATGGTTCTTCTAAGTCAATTCTGAATACTTAAGAACAAGGTGTTTGGACAGTTTCAATCATTTCTTTACATTCAGGGGCAATTTCTAATTACTCTGTTTCCTGTCACTCCATGATTAAGAAACATTTGCAGAAAGTTAGTAATAAAGTTTTTAAATGTGACACAAGCAACCCTTTTCTAAGAATTTAATTTTGATAAAAGACTAGTTTAGAAGGAAGAAAGAAACTCATTTTATCCAAGCAGAGTGGTACATATGCCTGTATCCTAGAACTGGGGAAGGGGAGGCAGGAGAATGAGTTCAAGACCAAGTCTGGTTACATGAGACTATCTCAAAACAAAACAAAGCAAAGACTCACTTTAGCCAAAGCTTTCCTGGCATCTTCTCTCAGCTGGGCACATTCGACATGAAGTGCTTCTAATGCCGTTTTCAGGTCGTCCCTCTCTTTAGTGAGACATCTGATCTCTTCCTGAAGTTTCTCAGTCAGCCCAAGTCTTTCTATGTTCTCTGGTGGCTCTGAATCCAATGTTCTGGAGTGTTCTTCCAATGGCTTCAGTTCATTCACTTTTCCTGGAATCTCTCTGACTTCTTTCACATTAGGAAGCAGCTCTTGTTCTTGGAGCTCTGGGATCTTTTGATATTCATAAAGCACAAGGTTACTATCTAGAGAATTCATTTTTCCAATAGAAAAAGGTCAGGAAATTTTACCCAGCAATGAATGTGACCTTGAATCTTAGAGTCTCCCTTGGATCAATAGGCCATTGTGCACTCACTGTCAATCCCTTTGATTCTATGTGATGTCTACTTTCAGTCTGCCATGCTTTCTTTTCATCTTAGACCCGAAGTTGAACCAATCTTTATATATTAGAATCATCACACTATTAACTCAGCCAGTTACAGACTTAATTTCTAGACTGGTACTCAAACTAAAAGCAAAAAAGGAAATCATCTTAGGTGTTTAGGAACATTCCAATAAATGGATAGTCCCCATCTTTTGCTGAATTCAAATAATATCTCCCAAGTTTTCTGTTTGTGCACACTGATTGCCTATTCACTCTAATAACTAGTGGAATGTAACTTTGTCTATCATATTTCTACAGTCTTTACATTAGAATTGAGGAACTGTTTAAACATGTATATCACTGACAAAAAGACCTGTTTTATTATATACTAGTTTCAATGCTTGGCAGAGAGCAGGTTGCCCAGTTATCCCAATGTCATCTTTTCCACAGAATTTACAATTCTTTGATGGTGTCTTATTCATTTGATTACTCATTTATCTACTACATTATTCCACTACAGATCAAGGATTTTACCCCTGTTACCACTGTTTCCTTTCGCTTCTTTGGTAAGACAGGATCTTACATAGATCAGACTATCCTTAAACTCTCTGTGGAGTCCAGGCTGGTCTTGAACTCCCAATTCCCCTGCTTCACCTCCCAAGTTCTGAGGTTATAGGTATGCACCAGCATACTGACTTTCCCCATCATATCTGTAACCAACACTATGTCTGTCATAGTAGACAGTCAACAAATTCTTACCCAGTGAATATATCATAACTGCTCACTTATTTTCCTCCAAAGGAGGAAGGAAGACGTGGCCACGGACATGAAGAAAAATGACATACCTTTCCTTGCAGTTTGGCATCAGCCTTTTCCGTGTCCTGAGTGCTTGCTATTTCATCTTCTTTCTCAGAAACGCTCCTTAGCTCGTCGATGATGTCTTGGTGCTCTTTCAGATGTGTGTGAGCAATGTTTAGTTCTGTCTGTAGGCCCTTAGACAGTAAATGAAATGTAAACAATGTTACAGCCTTTGCTCAACACTGCCTCTCTTGCCAGATGACTGGGTTTCTAAAGAAACGTTTAACAGATAAAGAAAAGGCTACAGCATTACTTACTGTAGCATATTCTTTAAGTTGTCTTTTTTCTATTTCAAATGATTCCTGCAATTCCTTTAGATCATTTCTTTCTTTGGTTATAGATTTTATCTTCTCACAATTATCATGAAGTTTCTGAGCCAACTCAAGTTTCTCTGTTTCCATGCGTTCCAATGCCAATCCTTGGTTCTTAAATTCATTCTTTAAGCTCTCCATTTCAGTCATCTTTTCCTGCATCCTACTCACATCTTCTTGGGTACTAAGAAGTAGCTGCTGTTTTTCCTGGAGTTTCTGGTTCTTAGGAGGGACAATTATTTATAGTTATCATGTTGCAGATATTTTGCCAAATTTTTATGTAGTACCATTAACAGAACATTGTTGACATCAATGCAACCAGACAAGCAGCATTAAAAGTAAATTAGCCCTTAAAAACAATGTTGATGGTGGGTCAAACAGTTCAGAACCATCTAGAAACTGAGGATGTGAACTTGACTGGAAATGCAACTTTTACACATATAATTGTAAGCAATGAGACTAGATTCTTTTGGATTACAGTGGTCCTTCAAATCAGTGACAGAGAAGGTCACAGAGAAACCTGGAAAAGCAGATTATGGAAAATAGCATCAGAGACTGGAGTTCTGCAACCCAGGGCAGCTGTGAGCTACCAGATACTACTCAGAAGCAAAGAAGGCTTCTTCACTCAGCCATCCAAAGGAATGCCACTGACACTTCAACTTTTAAACCTAAGGACCAAGAACAGTGACAATGAAGCATGTGGAGGCCTACACCTTCAATCTCAGCACTGGGGTGGCAGAGGCTGGTGGATCTTGGTGAGTTTGGGGCCAGCCTGGGCTACATAGTGAGTTCAAGGACAGCCAGAGCTACTTAGAAAGACCCTGTCTCAACACACACACACACACATACCCACACATCCACACACAAAGAAAGAAAGAACAGTGACATAAAACATTTCTCATCTTGTAAGCCACTAACTTTATGGCAATTCTGGTACTACCTTGGAAACTTACAGAGGTTGATAAAGGTGAAATGAGAAAATAAAACTAAAAAGCCAATACTAAAATATACCAATACAGAACCATAATTCCCTGTGATACAAATAAATAATATACACATATCATTTGTTTATTTAGAGACAGTCTCATTCTGTGGCCCAGGCTGGCTTAGAACACAATATCAAGTCCAGGCTGATGTCAAATTTACAGCGAGCCTCCAAACTGTAGGGACTACAGGTATGAGTGACCACACCTAGCTTACCATCATCTTTTACTTTTAACAGAATGGTTATGGGATGACCCAAATAAACTTAAGAGCATCAACTATTACCAGCTGTTGATTTCACTTCTTAGGAGAATGAAAAGACACAGGTTTTAAAGTAAATCCAATTATATGAAAGGGCTAAAAAAAGATAGAAAGCAAGCTCCCGACAACAGTGGCACGAGTTACAGTTGTCATCAAGCAGTGGCGCTGCTCTCATCCTGAACAGAAGGGACTTCGAGTGTGTTTTAGAGTCACCGAGTCCCCTGTCACAGTCTCAGGTCTCACATGTCTTACAACAGCACTTCTCTTTACTAGTGAGTCAGAAACCTGTTAGTGTCCAAGATGGTGATAGTGAACAGTCTTACATTTCAAAGAAACTCCAACACAACTCCATATGGAGAGAACCTTTGTTTGTTGACTGATATATCTCAAGTACTCAGCAGGGTGTCTAATCCATGGTAGTACTCAATAAATTTTGATGGATGACTATATTATATGATTAATTTGGACCATATAAGGCTACCTGACTCTTACCTAAAGATGTTATAATTATACAATCTTTGCAAGGAATGTTGATTAAGAATTCAATTCAGATTGAAACTTCATACTGTTAACATTGAGACTTCTCTCTTTTGAGATATTCACTATTCCTTAACTTAAGAGTAGAGGAAAAAGAATTTAGTAGTAAAATGTGTGTGGTCGGGACAAACAGCCAGGAAGGCAGCACAGGAAGCTCACCTTTTCCTTTAACTCTCTCTCTACTTCTGCTAATCTCTCCCACGCCCTGGAGAGTTCCTCGCTCTTCTTGGTGGCTTCATCTTTCTCCCGTGCAGCTATCTCTTGCTGCCTTTTGAGTTCATCTCTAAGAAGTCTTAATTCTTCCTGGTTTTCAATAGTCTAGAGTTTAAAAAAAGTCCTAGATTAGCATTTATAGCATTTGTTTACCTTTATGAAATCAGGAAAACCCAGAAATTACTTTTGACTCAAAATGAAGAAATAGAAGTGATAATACATAGAAAAAGAAACGGTAAAGTGAAGTCAGGCTGCTTTCAGTGGCCAAAAGACTACAGTCACAGTTCTTTTTCTTATGCTTTATGACTTTGGATTCAAGCACTGTTAAATGACCAGTCAACTCAAAATGGTTCCCACTCTTTGCTGGCAGGATGTAGGCTACTTCATTATGAAGGCCACACAGCAGCAGGCCTTTACATGAAGGTCACCAAGACATAACAAGTCTACAGAGAACACACTTTGTGTTTGCATGCTAATTTTCATTCAGTTTGTTGATAAACCAGACAATTCTAAATACAGGAAATAGAAACAGCACGAAGTGTCGGGTTCTACTGGATCCACAGTGAATTTCCTAAATTATTAATTTTAACCCTACAGACTCTAGAGTCTTGTAACAGATTAAAAAAAAAACTGAGGCAGGTATTACTGGCAAACATGAATGACTTAAAACAAAATTAAAAGCTACAATATTAAAGAGAAGCATTTAGGAAGCAATTTAAAAAATTACGTATAATACCAGCAAACTATAACACAACATTAAGAGAATAAATCATTAAGGATATTCAATGGCTAATTAGCTTATAAAAAATGTTCAGCATCTTTTGTTAGGGAAAGGCAAAGTAAAATAGGTACATTAGCAAAAGAATGGCTAAAATTGAAAACATAAATACAGTGTTGGTAAGGGGAAATTTGGAGCCACCAGAATTCTATTTGTTGACGGGAATGTAAAATGGTAGAGCTGATTTGAAAATCAATCTGGCAAATTATTATCAAGTTAACACATAACACCCAGTGGTTCTATTTAGGCAGAGACATTTGTCAAGAGTCATTCAACCTTACACTTCCATGATGTATGTATTACATATGATTCTACCCGAATAAAGTTAATGAAACCTAAAGTGAACAGATAGAAATGTACAGCCAACTGCAGAGAGCTAGATCCTACCATCTCGATATTTTCCTTTAGGTCCATCTTCAATTGTTCCCTTTCTGCAATAATACTCTCCAGTGTTTGCTGGAGTCCACTATTCTCCTGCAGTAGAGAGTGTATTTTCCTCTGTTCCTCGGTGACCTCATTATCGTTACCACCTGCAATTAATGTCGGGGCATTTTCAGCAGGCAGACTCTGTTGTTCATCTGTGCCATCCACCTAAAATATGAACACATTAAAGAAGAATTTAAGTCGTTAACAACTACTTTAATATTAGGGAAGTATCTATCCCTTGTATTTTGTATCAAGTACTAGTCTCTTATCAACACAGAGTCTCCTCTAGAACCTTAGGAGCTTGGCATTATTCCTATCTCTATTTAGTAATTAGGGAACTTAAAGTCATTTATGCATTATGCAGAGAGCACATAGCCAGCTTTGGATGTAAGTGGTCTGCTCTAGTACTGGTATTTTTAGACATGTTCACTGATAAGAGCTGCCTAGGAAGCTATACACATTGCAATTTTTGTGTACAATAGGTTAACCTGCCTCTGTGGACATTCATTTATTCAAACTGATTAGATAATTAAGACATATGCCTTTCCTGGCTACACATCCTCCTTAAACACTTTCTAAGTTATACAATGGTAGTATTCTGGTTATTTTATTTTATTTTTTGCTACAAAAAGAATACTGAGGACTTTGCTTCCCTGAGTGCTGATGGTTACAGTTGGAATAAGAAACAACAGACTTCGTATCAAAGTGGGAACCGTGGGCAGTAGGTCAAGGGCTGGTCCTGGAGGAAGGGGGTGAGCTGCAGCATTCACCTTTCTTTGCTTCCTGACTGGGAATATGATGTGCCTAACCTCTCACTTCTGCTGCCTAAGTTCCCTGTCGTGGTGAATTATACCTTTGACACTGTGAGGCAAAATAAACCTTCCCTGAATTGCTTTTGTTAGAGATTTGGCCAGCGCAACAAGAAAGCAACGTATGGAAAACATGGGTTTTGGTGAAACCCTGATTCCTCAGGCAGGTAAGTCAGTGCTGGGAAAACAACACATTTTGTTATGCTCTGTGACTCAGGGAGGAGTGGCCTGGCACCACCTTGAAGGAGAACCTAGGGTTAAAAAATAGGCTTCTGTAAAAAGTCTAAGCTTCCAGTATTTTTACCAGACACTTCATGATCTTGTCCCTGTTCAACTCATGTGTCACCTAGTCTCAAATTCTGTCTTCTTAGCCACTAAGAGGTTTGAAAAGTACTCTTACAGCTTGCTGTGACCTCAGGGCTTTAGTATCAGCCATCCTTTGTCCTTGCATTCTTTTACTATCCTCATTTCTCAGTCTTTACCCCCCACTTCCACCCTTTGGTCGTGTACTTTCCTACTTATGTTCCTCTTGCTGCCACAGACCGCTGATGGGGAACTTGGGAGGAAAGGGCTTATTTCATCTCACAGGTTATGGTCCGTCACTGCAGGAAACCAAGGCAGTGTGTGCTGTTAAAGAAAAGCTTGTAGAAGCATCTGAAAAGTCAACCACCGTTCTTTACCTTCTGCTGAACTTCATCTCTACTTCCTCCCCTGTCCTTTATTTGCAAATTCTCAGACACTTCCTCAGCAGCTTTCATTTTCAGCATGTTAATTGTTTCTTGGTGTTGTTTCAAAGACTCAAGAGCATTTAGTAACTGTTCTTGAGTATCTACATTCTTTGTAAGAGAAAAAGAAAACGATTTCCATTAGTATGTGAAGCACACTAACCTTATAGTTACTATTTGATCATATCTAACATGACTTCTGCAGTTCTAACAGTTGGTCCATACCATGTTCACAGTGTCCTGAATGTCACTTCGGAGTTGGTCTCTCTCCGTTTGCAGGCTTACTTGGAGTTGCTTCAGGTCTTCCTTTTCTTGGGTTAAGGCTCTTACTTCTTCCAAGGTTTGCTGAAGCTTCTCAGTGAGCCGCGCCCTCTCCTTCTCTGCAGACTGCAGGCTGGATTCTCTGCTTTCTAACTCCTCTCTCAGTTCCGCCATTTGATTTAACCTCTCTTGGCCCTCGCTGGTTTTCTGCTGAAGCTCTTGAGTCTTGTGAGAAAGCTTTAAAGAGAAAGTGTGATACAGTAAAAGCAGAACGTCGTATCACACACAGAGACAGACACACGTGCACGCAGACAATACTCTGGAAACAGAAGCCTATTTCTCTTGTCGACAGTTTGTACCAACCTCGGCCTTCAAGGAATCCAAACTTAAACCAAGGTCTTCTGCTTCTTTAGAGAGAGTTCCTATTTCTTGCTTCATCCTCTCCTTCTCCTCCAAGAGCACTTCATATTTTTGCTCAAGTTCCACGTGAAGGGTTTTCAATGTTTGGCATGCCTCATCTCTGCTTTCGTAATTCAGCTGGGAAGCTGCAAGGTCATCTTTAGCGTTTCCAATTTCTTCAAGTAAACCTTGAATCCTACCGTCTCTATGAGCTACTTCAGAAAATAAGTTTTCTCTTTCTGCAGTTATTAAACAGAGCTCTTCAGATTTCTCATGCAGCTACGGAAAAGAAGTAAGATTTAGGGATGTTAGCAAAATATGTTGGATACCCTGAAGCAACTTTCTGAAAAAATTGTCAAGTTGGCAAAGATCTGACTGAGGAATGGTGGTTATTTTGATTTGCAGCGCTGAGGATGGAACGCAGAACCCAGTGCACAGTGGGCAAACACGCAGTCTTTCAGCTCTGTCTACAGTAGAGGGCAATGTTCTTGTCATTAACTCTTCATTTAGCCATCTAAATCCATCTTAAATGCCTTTTTCATGATGTCTTTGGGCTCCAGATAAAGAACACATGGAGGAGTCGATAGAAACAGCTAACTGAGACTTATCTGTTTCCTTAGCTAGCTAGCATCTGAAAGTAGTCTGTAATGTGACTGTGGCAGGCACTTCAGGTTTGCCTCAAAATTTGAAATCCCTGTCCCCTGACTAAAGTAATTTCTAAATATTTAATCTATGGACAAACTATGCTTTTAAGAATTACATATGAAGCATCATTTTAAATAATTATATAACCCACAATATATTTATGGGAAGTTCGATCACTGTGAAAGGAAAAGGAGAGAGCTAAACAGCCCACAAAAAGAAGGGCTAAAGCAGAGGTTAGTGACCGACCGGCTTAGGGGCACATCCATGTGGCTCAGCGACTAGCCTGACAGTTATTTTGGGGGCCTGAAAACAGCACCTGCTGGTCTTTTCATGCACTGAGTGGTGAAGGGACTTATTGTTTACAGGACAGATAAGGTTTCCAAGTTCTTTAGCAAGATGTTTGCCATAAAGTACGTACTCAAATTCTTGGCCCTTTTATTCCTTTTTGAAAGTTAGACAGACAGACAGAGAAGCTGATAGGTGAGTTTGCAGATGCCTTTACTGGGAAAATTTATAGTGGCTGCAAAAACTATCATTGTTAACCTTGCCATACTTTATTTTGAAAATTATTTTTTTTTACATGTTTGGGTGTTTTGCTGTATGTATATCTGTGTACCATCTGAATGCAGTGTTCATGGAGGTCACAACAAGGTTTTAGATCCCCTTGGAACTGGAGTTAACAGGATAAGCTGTAATTTGCAATGTGGGTTCTGGGAATCAAACCTGGCTCCTTTGGGGGATTAGTCAGTGCTCATAACCAGTGAGCTCTCTCTCTCTAGCCCTTGCTATTTTTTAAATACGGAATTTTAAATTTAGTCTCTGAGAATTCCACACATACATACGGGATGTATTTAAATCACATTCAGCCCCCTACCAATTCCTCCTGGATTCCCCTAAATCCCCCTCCCAACTTTGTGTCCCCTTGTTTCGTAACTTTCTAAGTCCAACCAGTCACCTGGGCATATGCATGACTATGCAGCCACCTACTAGACCATGGTAAACCTACTAGGGACCAAAGTCCTGAAGAAAACTGTCTCTCCCTCCCCTAGTGGCCATCAATTGCTGACAGCTTCAGGCAGCTATAGCTGCTTGAGGATAAGCACACAAGTCTTGTCAAATCTGGAAGATACTGTTTTGCCCTAAGCCCCTCTAATCACTGGCCCTTACAATCATTCCATCCCTTTGTTCTTGATGATCCCTGAGCCCTGGGAGGACATATAAAATACATGTCAAGCCAGGCGGTGGTGGCGCACGCTTTTAATCCCAGCACTCGGGAGGCAGAGCCAGGCGGATCTCTGTGAGTTCGAGGCCAGCCTGGGCTACCAAGTGAGCTCCAGGAAAGGCGCAAAGCTACACAGAGAAACCCTGTCTCGAAAAACCAAAAAAAAAAAAAATACATGTCACAGACATTTGGTTTTTTGCATTAAAGAAATTTGTTTTTGAGTCATAGTCTAACATGATAGCCTAGGCTGGTCTAGAACTCCGAGTAACCCATCTCAGCCTCTTGAATGCTGGGATCTTAGACATGAACTACCATCTCCAATACCTTCTCATTTCTATTCTTTTTTCTTCAACACAGTGACATGACCAGTACCAAGAAGTGGGCTAAACGTATGTGAACACATTTGAAGACCAAGCACAGCCAGTGCATGGATTAGGTTACCGAGCGCTGTGAGAGCTTGAGTCCTGTCTTCCCATCACTCACCGAGTCACATGTTTACAGTGTCTCCTGTCTTACCTCTTTCCTCAGTGTTTCCACCTCAGAGGGTAAAGATTTCAACTCGGAGAGCAAGCTAACTTCTTTTCGCAAAGTTTCTTTTTCTTCAACTTCTTTATTCAGTTCTCTTTGGAGATCAGTAATCCTTTTCTCCAGTTCCAAATTTGACAGCAAACCTAGAAGTGTTTGATAAATTAGCCTATGTTGATATAAAAGTGATCTAATTTTTAACAGATTTTAAACCACCTCTCAAGTCATGTCCAGTGCATTTGAAAAATAATCTTAAGCCTTTATTATTGTGCCCATAGAAGTATTTATGAACATGGACATTAAAGACATTTAAACTGAATAGTAAATTCTTTTTAAAAAATAAGAGCTTAACAGGCACTTAATTTTGGAATGTACTTAATCCCTTTAGGTGAGTTCCCAGGGGCCAGTGTGCAGATATCTGAATTTGTATAGTACCTTTGCCGTCTACCAGGGCAGTGAGTTTTGATATTTCTTGAAAAGCAAACTGCAATTCCTTATCTAGATCAACCTGCATTTTCTTTTTTGCCTCCAGTTGGCGTTGATACACCTGAATGTCATTCTCCATTTGCTTACAAGAATCTGAAAGTTCATTCTGTTGGAAAAACATTGAAATTTTGATGACCCCATGCTGATCACTACAACTATGACATTATAAATTCTGAAAATTTCTTACGATTTTCTCCTTCAGCTTCAGATTTTCACTTCTAAGGAAGGCTGACTCTCTCTTGGCATCAAGGGCCACAGTGTCCATATCAGACAACGTTTGCATCACATGTTTCAGGTCTTCAGTGGGCTCCTAGACAGAGGACAAAAGGACCCAGGAGGTCCAGTTTTGGCCGATTTTGGAAACTACGCTGGAGAACATACACACATGTATGTCATTCCTAGCTGATCAAAAAGGGTGAAGACAGGATAAAAATTCTGGCCACACTTTTCTATATCATAACAGCTGGTCTAGAAGTACAAACTGGTTACTGTTTAATAAAAAACTTAAACTAGGTATGGTGGCACCCACCTTTAAATCCCAGAACTGGAGACAGAGGCAGGTGGATCTCTTGAGTTAAGAGGCCAACCTATCCAACATATCTAATTCAAGTCAGCCAGAGCTACACAGTGAAACCCTGTTTCAAACCAATCCCTCCACCCTCCCCACACTGGCACAGAGGAAAAAAAAAAAAAAAAAAAAAAAAAAAACTAAAATTATTGAAGCATTTACTTCAACTCTCTATTGGTAAAATGTTGATTACACTAATAGTTCATTAATCGAAAATTTATGCTATTAAATATATGTAAATTGGCTATGACCAAGCCTGGTACACAATTGGCTCAATATAACCATTTACTAGGATGATTATGACGATATACTAGAAATGCCAAGTCAATCACACAACAAAAGAAAACCCAATTTTACCGAAGAGTATGACAAGTCCATTTTCATCTTTTCTGACTTCTGGGCATCTATGTATTTCTGCAGGTCCTTAATCTGATCCTCTTTTTCTTTAAGAAGCTCCACTTTTGAACTTAGTTCGTTCTAAAAGAATCAAAGAACATTGAAACTGAATTTAATAAATGATTTGAACTTAAAATGACAAAAGAACTTATATTTAAAAATTTAAATTGGTCAAAATTCACTAATATTTAAAATATAATTCCTCTATTTTCTGTAATCATGTTTAATTACAGGATACACATTTTAAGTTGTAGTTATTTATCAAAGAAATACTAAGATAAATGTTTACCTCAAGATCTTGATTATATACTTCTGCATGTTTAACTAAATTCTTTAAGTTGGAAATTTCATGAATTAGTTGCATCTGTAAGAGCATGTGAACAGGAAACAGCAAACCAATTGTTAATAAAGCAAAAAAGAAAGAGAACCAAATAAAGTATTCTTTACTGCTTCATCTCAAACACCATCTCAGAAGGGACTGAGAGTCTAACTGTAGTAGAGCACCTCATAATCTAACAGTCCAGAAAGGGGGTGGAGAGTGGGCTCAGCAGTTCAGCTCAAGGTCGGTTCCAGCATCCCGTCAGGCACCTCAACCATCTGAGACCGCAGCGCTATAGGATCTGACGCCCCTGTGGGCACCTGCACTCACACATGTACACACTCACACTTAAACACTGACGTATGCACCTCCATGTAATAAATAATAAGATCTTAAAACCCAAGAAGCACTACCCAAACAAACTCAAACCCACAAATCAAACAAATGAGGAAAAGAATCGCAGCACGTTTTCATGCTTTACAATTACATACTTTGACATGATTTGAAGCTGGGTTGGTTTGGGTTAGGACCACTTCATGTAGAAACTTTAAGCTATTTATTATTACTGCTGTTGAGAACCTACGTGGGTGTGGGATTATCAACTCTTTGTTCAACTATTCTCAGGAAAACACTGAAAATGATGCTACTGCTTTATGTTGTTCAACTACCTGAAAGTATAAAGGAGAAGCATTTGTCTTAATGTCGTTTATCAAAGTTTGTGCACCTTTGAATTTTTGACTACCAGAAACTTTTATAGTAAGCCACAAGAGACCAAAACCAACCCAAACAACCAAACAGAGCCACTTTGTGGAAAGACAAAGCCACTAAACCCTTCAAGATATTTCCATTTGTTCCCCTGCACAAGTATAATAGAAAACAAATATGGCTACATTGATTACCTCTTGGTGAAATTTTCTAAGTTGTGTACACATACGAAAAACATCAATACCCCAATCTCAGAAATAAATGGCTTCATGAGAATGACACTGTTGTTGAACGTGTTGTTTTCATTAAAGTTCATTATTTCTATTTCTCTTACCTCTTGATCTTTCTCTGCTTTTCTTTCTAGCGCCTCAAATTCTTCTAAGTCATTTTTTTCCTTTAATTTCAATTTCAGTTCTTCATTTTCTCTTCTTAGTTGCTCATAGTCTAGTACTAGGTCATCATATTGAGCATGAACTGAGCTCAACTCACTTTCTAAGTTTTCCTATTATAAACAGAAATAAATTTTCCAATCAGAAAATTCAGATCCACTTAATTGCTTAGCTAACTAAAATGTAGATCAAATGAATGATCAATTCAACTCTGAATCAGTTGACTTAGGCCGTTCTCTTCTTTAATCTGACATTTGCATTACCTTGCTAACTTGAAACAGGAATAGGTTATTTGAAGATCATAAAAATAAGTAACATGCCGGGCGGTGGTGGCGCACGCCTTTAATCCCAGCACTCGGGAGGCAGAGCCAGGCGGATCTCTGTGAGTT